AGACTGGAGTAATGATGCTGAAAATTCAGCTTTGCATCAAAGGAACAAATTATATTTTAAAATATATTAAAACAGAAGACTGTTATTTTAAATTGCAATATTATACAAAATTACAGTTTGTTTCTGTATTTTTGATCAAACAGATACTGCCTTGATGAGCGTAAGAAACTTCTTTAAAGAAATTGTACTTATCCCAACCTTTTGAACGGCAGTGTATTTTATAATATAATTTGATTTTATAATGTTATTTCAATAATGAAATAAAGAAAAATGTTTAAAATAATTAAATAGCCTAAAAATTATTGTTTAAAATTCTATTAAATATTATTATTACTACATATATTAGAACTACTACAATTCTAAAATGTAGTAAACCGTAATTCTAAAGAATCAAGGGTAGGTTTGTCCATTTCTGACTGGTAGTGTACATCTTATCACTTACTTTTTTACTCTCCTCCATTTTGTGTTCAAACATGGCATTGAATACGGGAGACCTCGCTGTCAAAGGAAACATGAATCATCAGTTTCAAGTGAATCATCTGTGTGCAAAGTACTGCCAAATTCATCATGTGCCTCATTAACATTCTCTATTGTCTGTGCAGCTTGTCTTTTTAGCAAGGCAAATCTGGGTCTACCCCAAACGTCTGTCAATGGCGTGTTGGGATGACTAAGCTCACCTGCCAGTATGGATTTGTGCGCTTTGAACTCTTGCCCTCCCACGAACAAGCTGCAGTCTGTAAACCTGGAGCCTTCCCACAGGTTACCCAGGTCGTCGGAAAGCTGACACTCCGGAACCTTCAGCATATTTGTGTTTGACTGGCCAGAGATGTTTACGGAGTCTTGGACCACACTCACCTAAACAAATGAGTCACTGGTTTGAAGGAAGGACATTATTACACCAAAACATTGAGTATACATGAAACCTTACATGTTACGGTACCTCACAGAACAGAGTGAGCTTGTCATCAGGAAGAAGTCCATTAGCTTCATCCAGCAAGAAATCTCTCCTGATGAACTTCTTGAAGCCCCAGTCCTTTCCCTGGACGAAGCGGTAGGCTCTTTGGCTTTCTGAAGTGTGGGGAGAAAGAGAAAAAAAAAAGTATTAATACAAATAAGACATTTGCTATTCCACATTACCAAACTCAACCCTGTGAACGTCTGGGGTTGCAAAAGGGCAGAACATTTCTGGAAAGTTTTCAAATGTTTTAGGAAATCATCCAGGATTTTTTTGGGGAACTTTCAAAAACTTTTGGACATTTTGAGAAATTCTGGAACCCAATGAACGTACAGAAAGCTCTTACCCATGGCTTTAGTTTCTTCTCTTTTGGCGTTCAGTAAAGAAAACTTGAACTTTGCTCTCACTTCACTTTTTGGGCAACTGACAAGCAATAAGTACAGAGAGAGATAATCTTTACTCTCATCATCCAGACCCTTTGGGTTCACTCGCAAACACCTGCAGAAAAAAATTCAATAAATAATAGGAGCGCGTGTTAAAAAATGTCAGCATTACAAAAAAAAATATATATATTTTTTTTAAATCTCAAATTGATTTAATAATTTAAAATAATTTATAATAATTAGAAAACACTATGTATCCATATGTAATAAAATTCTAAAATGTTTTGTGTTTTTGGAAGAAGTATCTTATGCTCACCAAGGCTGCATTAATTTGATTAAAAATACAGTAAAACAGGAATATTGTAAAACATTGGGGGGAAGTCGTGGCCTAATGGTTAGAGAGTCGGACTCGTAACCCCAAAGGTTGCGGGTTCGAGTCTCGTACTGGCAGGCATTGTAGGTGGGGGGGGGGAATGTACAGCGCTCTCTTCCACCTTCAATACCACAACTGAGGTGCCCTTGAGCAAGGCACCGAACCCCCAACTGCTCCCCGGGTGCTGCAGCATAAATGGCTGCCCACTGCTCCGGGTGTGTGTTCACAGTGTGTGTGTGTGTTCACTGCTGTGTGTGTGCACTAAGGATGGGTTAAATGCAGAGCACTAATTCCTAGTATGGGTAACCATACTTGGCCACATGTCACTTCATCATCATCATCAACAACATCATCATCATTGCTACAATGTAACATAACTGTTTTCTATTCGAATATATTTTAAAATGTAATTATTCCTGTGGTGGCAAAGCTGAATTTTCAGCCATTACTCCAGTCTTCAGTCTCACAGAAATCATTCTTATAAATCATTCTTATAATTGAGCAGCTGATTTGCTGCTCAATTATCATTACCAATATTAATAATGGTATTATCAATGTTGAAAACAGTTTGTTGTTTAATAGTTTTGAGGAAACATTTGTCCCTTTTGATTAAATAAATGCCGACTCTCTCTTTCAACAACAACAACAAATAAAAATCGTAATTATTCCAAACTTTTGACCGGCAGTGTATTATGTAAAGATCTATTTTTTTTTAAACCAGTGAAATAGCATGTTCAACGCTGCTTCTGAACATCCCTAACCACACAATTCTGTAATTTGGCAACCAAAATATGTTATATGACTCATAAATGTGTAATTTTATTGGCTCTTCAGCCATTTTTTAGTCTGGCGAAGGCCGTCGTGGGAGCAGTCTCACAGAAATCATTCTAATATGCTGATTTGCTGCTCAATTATCATTACCAATATTAATAATGGTATTATCAATGTTGAAACAGTTTGTTGTTTAATAGTTTTGAGGAAACATTTGTCCCTTTTGATTAAATAAATGCCGACTCTCTCTTTCAACAACAACAACAAATAAAAATCGTAATTATTCCAAACTTTTGACCGGCAGTGTATTATGTAAAGATCTATTTTTTTTTAAACCAGTGAAATAGCATGTTCAACGCTGCTTCTGAACATCCCTAACCACACAATTCTGTAATTTGGCAACCAAAATATGTTATATGACTCATAAATGTGTAATTTTATTGGCTCTTCAGCCATTTTTTAGTCTGGCGAAGGCCGTCGTGGGAGCAGTCAACAATTGCAGTACTGCTAGAGTCAGATCTTCATCAGAGACAAGATTCATCGTAAAGTAATTAATCAGCTGTCAGTGACAAAAGAAATCTTTTGCGAATCTCAAAGTTTGTCCCAGACGGCTCAATGAAAACCCAACCTAAATCAAAATGGGCCACTGTTGTTTCACAAACAATGATATTTGGAAAGGTCAAGCCTGTATTCGTGGGTGTATGTGAGTGTGTTTGGCTGGGCAGGATGGTGAGGCATTACAGAGAAGAATTAAAGAGGTCATATGATGCGATTTCAATTTTTCCTTTCTCTT